TACAATTAAAACTTTACATCTGGCCAGGCAAGGTGGCTCACACTTGTAATTCCAGCACTTTGGGAGGCCAAGGTGGGTGGATCACCTGAGGTCAGGAGTTCAAGACCAGCCTGACCAACATGGAGAAACCCTGTCTATACTAAAAAATACAAAAATTAGCTAGGCGTGGTGGTGGGCACCTGTAATCCCAGCTACCTGGGAGGCTGAGGCAGGATAATCACTTGAGCCCAGGAGGCGAACGTTGTAGTGAGCCGAGATTGTGCCACTGTACTCCAGCCTGAGCGACAGAGTGAGACATTGTCTCAGAACAAAAAACAAAACAAAAAAAAAATCTTTACCTCTGTATTACACTTCACAGTTTACAAAAATCCTCCATATACATTTCCATCAGTTTAATGAAGAAATCAAGGCCAAAAGAGGTTAGGTGAACATATAGTCACACAGGCCTTCTTCTAGATATTCCATATCCTAAACCAAGTCCCCTTTCAAACTCTAAGCCATTACCCTTTTTCTACATCACTACCTTACCTGGATCTAAACTGTTACTTCAACTTAGATCTTCAACTGATAGATCTAAAATACCTAAGCATTTGAAAAACATTTTTATCAAAAAAGAAACAGAAAAGATGGTTTGGTTAAACAAAGTTAAATAATCTGACCAGGCACCATGGCTCACACCTATAACCCCAGCACTTTGTGAGGCTGAGGCAGGTGATCACCTGAAGTCAGGAGTTCAAGATCAGCCTGGCCAAAATGGCGAAACTCCCTCTCTACAAAAAATACAAAAAATTAGCTGGGCGTGGCGGTGAGTACCTATAATACCAGTTACTCGGGAGGCTGAGGCACGAGAATCGCTTGAACCTGGGACACAGAGGTTGCGGTGAGCCGAGACAATGCCACCACACTCCAGCCTGGATGACAGCGAGACTCTCTTTTTAAAAAAAAAAAAAAAGTTAAATAATCTGGCCTGGTTTTAGAATCTTTCCTCACTTGCTTATTTTACTTTCAGATTAGAAGTCCTCCTCAATTATCCCTTTCTTGCAGCTTGCCCGAATTTTTTCTTTCTGCTCAGTCTTCCTGTTCTTTCTCCATTATTCCTCTCTTTGTCAATTTTAACATATCAACAGCTTCAAGCAAAAAAATTCATGTAACTATTTCAATTCAAAAACAGACATAAGTGGCCAGGTGCAGTGGCTCACATCTGTAATCTCAGCACTTTGGGAGGCCGAGGTAGGCAGACACCTGAGACCCTATCTCTACTAAAAATACAATTATTAGCTGGGCCTGGTGGCACATGCCGGTAATCCCAGCTACGTAGGAGGCTGAGGCAGGAGAATCTCCTGAACTGGGGAGGCAGAGGTTGCAGTGAGCCAAGATCAAGCCATTACACTCCAGCCTGGGCAACAAGTGTAAAACTCTGTCTCAAAAA